TTCCCCGCATGAAAATAGCAAAAATGAGCGTTTTTCAATGACTTTCAGGCCCACATTCAATGCAAATACGCGAAAATCTTCCGCACTCCGCCTGTCTCCTTTCGAGCTCCGCCCACTCACGCGTATTCTGCACTGAATGCGCATCTGAAAAACTTCAAGAAAAGGCTCATTTTTGCCCTTTTCATGCGCGCAAAAGCTCCGGTATGGGTTCCTCATGGCGAGAAAGGTCCCGAAAAGGTGAAAACTGGACAACGAAATGCTGCCGAGCCGCTCCTTCAATCTCTGCTTTAGATGATGATGACTTCGAGCCCGAAGTCGAGTCGCTCGCACCTCATCCTCCACCAGTCGAGCATGAAGAGACGCCAACACCACCATCACATGCGACCGAAGGCAAAGCTAAACCGAAGGATAAGGATAAGGTGAGCTATGCCTATGCCTTGTATCATGTTAGTCTCAGTGTCCGTTTACAGCATGCATTCCCCAACATGGAGAGTTTTTCTCGAGAGTTAACAGCAGCAGAAAGGGAAGAAATGCAAAGGCGGCAAGATTTAGCTTTGACCATGGAGATGTTTGGAGGTAAGTTTAGCTCGTTTTTTTTTCTGTAGGCATCATAAATTACAAGTAACTTTTAGAGCAGCCTACTACTGGAGATCAGCGTCCCTATAGCGATATTCTTTCGAAAGATGAGTTTGAAGATTGGGGATTGAAGGTAGGTAGTTTTTGTCGAATACATCACATCGGTTTTCCAAATCTCAGTGGATGCTGATTGCGGCAGTTTGGTCAATATTCTCTTGGTTCTTCTCATTATTTGCTCTAGTTTGATCTTTACGTTGGCTTCGATTCCTCTTCTTTTCCACGCTTTCATGTATTTTTTATGGCCCGTACCAAAAAGATAAATTGATCATTAACTTCAGCGCCTACTTGGTGGATTACATACTTTCTATCTCCTCCTTGAAGCTGATCTTGAGCTATTTTTGAGCTTCTCTCAATCAGCGAAAAATACAGATATCATCTTACATTTATTATTCATAAA